CCCAGTTTACTATTGGAGCTAAATCGCACTATATATTACCACTGCTCTCCCAAACAATAATAATACTATAATAATGTTAAATCTATTTTGATAGTAAACAGATGTGATAACATAAAATAAACCAAAGCTTATATTACTCATACTTTTGATTTATTACTCTTATAAATCTACTCTTATAATAATCATTTACATAATTATACAATATAATTATCTACTTCAATAGACTAAAAAAATAATTAGCACTTTCAAATTGTTTATATACAAAATACAAAATAGAAAACTTACAAAGTACAAATTCTTCAAATATATGATAAATAAACTGAGGTCTGATTACTATATCGATAATTTAATACACACAAAAATTTTCACATTCTTGCTTTCACTGCAGCTGCATCGTACTATGTATATATTTTTCATATATTTCATTATGAAGTAGTTATGTATGGGAAATCTGAGTCTGATGCTACAGATTGTGGTTTGTGACCATGTATAATAGTTTGAGACCATGGATCTTGGTTGAAACCATGGATTTTAGTTTTAGACCACAACAATTTGAAATTATAAACATGATAACTAAACTAGAAAAACAATCAGGGCAGTGCAAATAAATCTGGCATGTTACATAATAAATAAAGTAATACTATATTTTGGCCTTACCTAGCAACTAAACTCTGTTTAAATAATTATGATAATTAATTTAATTCCAAAAATATTAAACACCTTTTTATTCATTAATAAATATACTTATATTATTAAAAGAATAATATTATTATTAACTTATTTCTGTAATTTTAATAATAAAAAATGAAGATATTCCAAACTATACTAATTAATTTTGTTAAGATTGACCATCGTAAAGTCATGTAGTATAAAACTCTTAAGTAACAGCAATATCAAATCATAATTTTGTCCCCATACTCCTGATGATAGCTTTGCTCAGAACTAAAAAATGTAAAGTAAAAGAATTCATAGTAGCATCAAATTCCGAATGCAAGAAATTTATAATGGCAAAATTAATAGAACTGTACTGTATAGATGTGCATAAAAATTTATAAAAAAGAAGATAAAAAACAAAAAAATTATCAATATAGAAAATTCAAATAAAAAATAAAAATGTGGCATTTACCTTTTTCAGCTAAACCCCAAATACTATGAGATTCATTGATAAAATAAAAGAGATTTGAATATAATAGAAGGTTTAAAATTGTCAATTTTTGGATTGGCAATAACTTGAAGAAAATCTCTTTTCTTTCTGCTAAAATAAGTAAATTACCCTTCGAGATATCTGAAGAAAATTTATGTGATATGTTTGGCTAATTTTAGCAATTTATGGGTTGGCCATAATATTATTAGAATTAGAATAACTGTTTAATAATCTTTCAGATACGTAAGAGAAATTTTCTAAATGAAAAAAAAGTTTGAATATTGCCATATTCTTATTGCAAACACCATTCCTTACAATATTAACATAATCCTTTACAAAAAGAACTGAATATTGTTAATTATTTATTTTTAATTAAAATTGTATTTACTTTTGACAGTTGGTCTTAAAAATTTAACATTTTTAAAATGTTTTAGTATGTCAAAACATGAAGATTCTAAAGATTATATTCTTGTTCTTGAATATGATTAAAAGAGTTCTTTATGTGAAAATCTTTATGATATAGCACAAATAAACTGGAGAAATAAATTAAACCTTTTATAGTGAATTATTCTTATTCACTGAGATTTAAATAGTGGAAATATACTACAAAGTGACTTATATAGTGCATATATTGCAGACTTAGGGCTTTCAATATCAGCAAATATTAAATTAAATCCTGAACTTGATGGAGTTTATGGAATTTTGCTATATATTGCTCCAGAAGTTTTAATAAGGAAACCATATACCAAAGCATCTGATATTTATTCATTTGCTATGATTATATGAGAAATTTTATACAGGAAGCCTGTTCTCTTTGAGTAAAATTCTGATTTACAATCAAGATCACAAGTTATTTTGCAGATATGTGATAGTATGTGACTGCCAATTCTTGAAGGTACAGCTTTATGTTATATAGATCTTATGAAAAGATGTTGGTAAAGATCCAAAAAACTGGCCATTAGCTGCAGAAATTCATAATATATTTGTTGAATGGCAAAATAATGAGGATATTTTGGAGAAATTATCTATAACTGACAAACAAATACAAAGTATTACTAATAAACGTATTCAGTCATATATTAAAACAAGATATAAAAGCAAATTTGTTTTATATAATGATAGTCATCAAGATAAATATAAATTTATTAATAAATTTTATTAATTATTCTAATTTAAATAACATTATTATATTTTTACAATAGATACTAATCTATATGAACTAGAAATAGATGAATTAGAAATAAATAAATTAGAAATTAATGAATAGAAATTAAATTAAGTAAGCAAAATTGAATGAATAAATATTTATTCCTTAAACTGTCTATTTTAGCAAGCAAATATGTCTGCTAAAATTTTTAAAAAGTTTTTAAAAATTGATTCTGATTTATTTTTATCAAAAATTAAGTTATTTTAAAAATTTTTTTTAAATATCAACTATAATTATAGATTATATTTTAATAATTTTAATTTTTATATTTTATAAAAAAAAAATTTAAGTTGACTATAAACTAAAAAAATTTAAAATTTTCAAAAATTTCTGATTTTTAAAGATTTTATTTTCAATCATAAACAAACTTTTAAAAATTCTAAGAATATATATCCAATAATTTTGATACAAATTATAGATTAAGTTATTATAAACATATTATAAAAGTTTTTATAATTTTATAATAAAAATTTTAACTTTTATTAATAGAAAAAACTTTTTTCCTTCTTAAATACATATAAAAATTTCAAAATTTTTAAAAATTTTTTAAAAAAGTTTATAGTAAAATTAATGAATTGGCTATGTTTAAACTAATTTTTTATTTATATTTAAATATATACATAATTAAATTTTTAATAAATATTAATTAATAATATGCTTTATTTTTATTTTAGCTTAGTAATAGGGGCTTATTCTTAATAAAATTTTTAGTAATTCTAAAAAATCATGTTAAAAAATATTCTAGTGGGCATATTGCCCGCTGGACAGTTTAAGGAATTAGGTTGTAAGGTTAAAATTAATAATAATAGTTTAAATTGATATATTATTAAAACAATTATAATAATTTATAACATACTTGGCAACACTTATTCTAATTATGTTTATGAACAAAGGCAATTCTTTTTAATATTTTAATATTTATATGAAGTTTGATTTATTAATGGATAGGATTTACCCATACTACCTGTAGTATAGCTTAAAGCTAATTATTTACTAATATAGCAAATTAATAAACTATTAAATCTTTGTATAAAGTGTCTTATATATGAGACAATATATATTTAATATTTCATAGCTCTAAGTATTTTTAGGATTTTTTAAAAACTAGCATTTTTTTCAATAATTTTACTATATTAAAATTTTGTATGTAATTTTTTAAAAATTTAAACCTTAATTATCTTTGATAAATTAGTTTAGGCTTAAAGATTTTAATAAATTAATAATAAAACTTTTGTTTTTTATAACTTTATTTAAAAATTTAATGAATTTATTTAATAAAAATTATTTGGTCAAAGATTGAATGAACACTATATTATGCTAAAAATAGTAATGATTTGCAATTTACAGCTTATAGCAAAAATATTATTTTTTATAAACAAAATTTTGATATTGTAAACTTTTAAAAAGTTTTATATAATCAAATCTTAAATTTGCAAATTTTATTAAAAACCTTATAGCAAAATAATTTTAAATTGTGTACTACCAGTAGTACAAAAAAATTACAAAAATAAGAAGTTAAAAAAATTTTTTTCTTAATAGTTTTATTATAAATTTGAAAATAAATGAATTTTGATAAATCTAGAGTATTTATCAGATTTTTGAATATAAAAAGTTTTTTAAAAAATAATTTTTTGGATTTTTTAGAGCCTTTAATAAATATACTACTAGTAGTACAAAGGCCTAAATCTAAACCATTAACTAATAAATTAAATAAAATAAATATATTGAAAATTTTATTAATCAATCAATGCTAGAAACTGTAAAATGATTGTATTTCAAAAATAATAACAACAAATTGATTTTGTTTTCAATTTTTAAGATAAAGAAATATTATAAAGATAACACACGAATAGCCAAGGTCAACTATTTTAAATAGAAATTCATTAATAAATTAGTATTGTAAATTAAAAAGTAAAAAAGTCTAAATTTGTCCAATGAAGTTATTGAACAATTGGACATATGTCAATTAATCTTATAATTTTTTTGGACACTATCCAATGGTCAAAAACTTATTTAAACTTTTGGGCTATATCCAAATATCCAATTAAATTATTTTGATATTCAAGCGAAACTTAATTTTTGATGTAGTATCGTTCAGAATACATCGAAAAGATATATATCATTATCTCTATATCGCTGAATTAAAACTTATTGAAGGTGCTCTCAAGCAGTTATCTCTATGTGAATGACCAATGATCGAGATCGTGCACAAGTACTGCGATTAATTTAAGTAATACTTTCATCGCAATTATGAACTTACTTGATAGGTTAAACTATTTTCCACTAATCAAAATCAAGTTCCGACCTATTAATCTAGGTGTATCGTACAGCCTGATAATTATTCGGTCAATTTTTTTACCAGATGCCCAAAATAAATGAAAACAACTGTAATGCAGACTAACACTGTCGGTATTACGTCCTTTCGGAGTCTGTTTTCGTGAATTTGTGGTCGAACTATTTTAAAAATATCTAAATAGTCATGCATGATATTATATAATATATGATTTTTATCACAATTCGTTATTAATTGAAATTTTATTTTATTACAGAGAAACTATCCTTGGGTCCATAGAAAATACATTGTTGCTCAATCTCGATGCTCAATTACTTAAGTATCATTTCTACAACCTTATAATACTGATAATATCCTTATCTTTTGGCAAGACATATTTCTGGAAGCCTGTGTGCTGATAGAAGTTTCTCAGAATACTTTTTTTCTGATCAAACAAAATTCCAACAAATCTGCTTCCTCAGTGAGAAATATAAATTTGTCTATAGTTTTTAATATTCTAAGAAATTGTAGTTAAAAAAAATCACTTATCAGGAAATTTGCTATCGATTAAATAATAATTGAAAAAATGATATCGAAATTATGTCTTGTCAGCAAAAAAGGATTGTCAATATTATAGCTTCGTGAAACTTTAAAAAAAACTTCATAACCTGATTTGGTTTTGTTACACTAAAGAACAAATATGCTTGCGGCTAAACATTAATTTATGTTTTTTTGATACAACAATATAAGTCAATTAATGAATTAATCAAATAAGTAATTCTTTGTTATAGCTTTTGTATTACTTTGACTAAATGTTAAATATACTCTGAACAAAGTTTGTATTTATTTAGTGCATGATTTTTTTCTTCTGTAAAAAAAAAAAAATGGATTCCGAACAACTTTTTAATCTCGGTCAAAATTATCTATATGGTAATGGTGTTAAGAAAGATGAAAAGAAAGCTTTTGAGTATTATATGAGAGCATCTGAGTTAGGAAATTCGGATGCGATGTGTTGTGTAGATAATTGTTATTATTATGGAATTGGAGTAGAAAGAAATTACCAGAAAGCATTTGAATATTGTAAGAAATCTGCTGATTTGGATAATGTTGACGGAATAAGTAATCTTGGTGATTTTTATGCAAATGGAAGAGGAGTTGATCAAAATTTTAATAAAGCATTTGAATACTATAAAAAAGCTGCTAATATGGGAGATAAAACGTCAATTAGTAATGCTGCTCGATGCTATCGTAATGGTATTGGTACAAAGAAGGACATTCTAAAGGCAAATTATTGGTTCACAAAATATAGAAGCCTTTTGGAAACTAATAAATCACCAGATCATATCAGTCCTGAACTTAAGAAAATATTAGACAATGAGAGATTTAAATTATCTTGGATTGATTATGATGAGTTCAGAAGTATCAAGGAAAGAGGAAAAGGAGGATTCTCAACTGTATATTGGGCAAGTTGGCTCGATAGAATTAATGGTACATGGTGGAATATTGCACTTAAAGTGGTTCATGATTCAAACAAAAATAAGCAAGAATTTATTCAAGAACTGAAGACTTATTGCAAAGTTGGTTACAAAAATCCTTCGTTCTTAGACTGTTTTGGAGCATCAAGAAATAATTATGGCGATTATATTATTGTTATGAAGCTTGCAGCAGAAGGTTCGTTATGACAAAATCATGCACAAGTATCACAATTGGAATGGAAAGATAGATTGAATCTCCTACATGGTATAGCATCAGATCTTGGTCAATTCATTCACAGGAACTCGTTTACAAGGATTTACACAGTGGAAATATTTTACACGATTATTTGAATACTGCATATATTGCTGATCTTGGACTTTGTGGAAAAGTAAAGGAAGGGAAAGTTTGTGGAATTCTCCCATATATAGCACCAGAGGTTTTAGTGGGCCAACCATATACTCAGGCATCAGATATTTATAGTCTTGAAGTTATCGTGACAGAAATTTCGACCGGACAAAGAGCATTTGATGGAATTCTATTTGATGATTATCTTGGATCAAGAATTATCAATAGATCAAGACCTAAATGTATAGGACCAGATTGTTATGTTGAGTTATCTATGAAATGTATGGATAAAGAACTTGATAAATGACCTACTGCAACAAAAATTATTGAAATAATCACTCAATGGTTAGTTCAAATAGATCAGGATGATAATAATGAAATCAAAAAACAATTTTTGGAAGCTAATAAGGCTAAACCAGAACCGATAAATCAAATTCATGCACAAGAAGTATATATGTTATACGTCGCTTTGGAATTTATGTTAATTCCGAATTGGCATAAGTTATTTTGGAATCAGAATTTGACATATGTTATATAATAATCGGTATGTTGTCAACGATTATGATACCAATTAAAAAATATAAAAAAATGTAAAAAAAATAAAAAAATAAAGATGTAAAAAATAAGCAGCATAACGAACAATAAATTTTATTTTGAAATTTATTCCAGCACTATATGTTTACTAGTGAAATTGAGCAAATTCAAGTTACAATAATTGAATTTTATCTATGGCAGCAATGCATAATTTTTGTGAAAAATAAATCGCCAAGAATTCTAATGCTAAGTAGTATAGTTCATATTAATGTTAATGATTGTTGCATTTACCTTGCAACACACAGCTGCATCACCTAGAACAAAGTGCATTATTTTTACGGCATGAACAACTCTTGGTCTTACAATTTGTTTTGCTACAATGGCAGCTGTGATGCCTTGTTTCTTACTTGCTCAGTTGCTTCTTGAATCATTAAATTATTTTTAGCTTTACATCTTTGCTGATTTTTAGCTTTACGTAATGGTTGTGTCAAATGTTGCTGTGCCCCAGCATTTCTCAAAGAAATAAAAGTACCAAGAGGAATAATATCAAGTACGGGATATTCACTAGTACCTAATGGTTCTAATTCATTGGCCGGATACCATTTATCTAAAATTCCAAATTTACACCCAACCTGATAAGAATCAAGGTTAGGCTTTTTTTGTATAACCTTACAAAGCAATGAACATTGATCTATTTTCCATTTGTCAATATCAGATATTCGAATCTTCACAAGATCACCTGGATTTAAAGTTAATGTGTATTTTGTTTTATGATGCTTTTCCATTACATTGCAAATGAATTGTCGATTTTTTTAACATGTTGGATTGCTGCATCTCTTAAAGGTTTGTAGTTATCAAAACTTGCTCGAGTTGAAATTTTGCTTGAATAACTTTCTTGAGATATGATAGACATTTTTTCATATGACGAATCTGAATAGCTTGCTTGAGACATACTTTCTGGCATTGTATCATCGTAATCATCATAATCGTCAGAATTATAATCATCAGAATTATTGCAACTATCACTATAGTCATTA